AGTTTTGGGGCATTCACAACTTCTGGAGGGAAGTTGTTCCACTGATTAATTGTTCTAGCTGTCAGGAAATTTCTCCTCAGTTCTAAGTTGGTTCTCTCCTTGATTAGTTTCCACCCATTTTGCTCCTTGTCCTTCCCTCAAGTGCTTTGGAGAATAGCTTGACTCCCTCTTCTTTGTGGCAGCCTCTGAGATATTGGAAGACTGCTATCATGTCTCCCCTAGTCCTTCTTTTCATTAAACTAGACATACCCAGTTCCTGCAACCGTTCTTCATATGTTTTAGCCTCCAGGCCCCTAATCATCTTTGTTGCTCTTCTCTGCACTTTTTCTAGAATCTCCACATCTTTTTTACATCGTAGCGACCAAAACTGGATGCAGTATTCCAAGTGTGGCCTTACCAAGGCATTATAAAGCGGTATTAACACTTCACGTGATCTTGATTCCATCCCTCTGATAGAATCCCCCTTAATTCTATCTCTAGGATCATTTGATTAAAGGCAGAACAGGAAATCCAGCCAAACATTCTTATATTCTATGTAGGTAAGAAAACAACTTGTACAGGTAGTCCTCAACTTATGACAGTTCATTTAGTGACCATTCAAAGTTACAACGGCACTGTGACAGGGGCTGCCACAAAGAAAAGGGTGTCAACCTATTCTCCAAAGTATCTGAGGGCAGGACAAGAAGCAGTGGGTGGAAATTAATCAAGGGGAGAAGCAACTTCAAACTAAGAAGAAATTTCCTGACAGTTAGAACAATTAATCAGTGGAACAACTTGCCTCCAGTAGTTGTGAATCCCCCAACACTGGAAGTCTTTAAGAAGATGTTGGATAGCCATTTGTCTGAAGTGGTGTAGGGTTTTCAGCCTGAGCATGTGGTTGGACTAGAAGACCTCCAAGGTCCCTTCCAACTCTGTTATTCCATTCTAAAAGTAACATGACTTTTTTCCCACACTCGCGACCATTGCAGCATCCCTATGGTCATGTGATGAACATTCAGGTGCTCAGCAACTGGTTCATATATATATGGCGGTTTCAATGTCCCGGGATCATGTGATCTCCTTTTGTGAACTTCTGAACTGCCAAGTCAATGGGGAAGCCAGATTCCCTTACAACAGAGTTACTAACTTAACAACTGCATTGATTCACTTAACAGCTGTGGCAAGACAAGTCGTAAAATGGGGACATAATAATTCGCTTAACAAATGCCTCACTTAGTGACAGAAATTTTGAGTCCAGTTGTGGTCGTAAGTCGAAGACTTCCTGTACTAGAACACATTTGAGGATGGGCTGTCTCCCTACAGCTGGTAAGCCTAGCTAACTTTTATTATTTGTATAACATGTTATATGCCTTTCGTTCTTATGGGTATGAGGGCCTGTCCAGAATAATTTTGGGTTCATATTAGGGAAGTTATGGGGGGGGAGGACTTTTCTATGAGCCTCTTTGCCTATTTTCAGAAGATATGACTACTATTAGAGGAGGTCAGGCGGTGCCTCCAGATTGAAAACTGGCTTTGGCCATTATAGTTTAAAAACTGGATTAATATACATCTCTAACAGGTAGTCAATAGCTACCAATGGATTTCTTTAACTATGCAGTGGACTCGTGCCAAGAAGCTATGGAAAATCAAGGAATTTTTATTTGGTTTTATCCAGATCATTACATTTGCCTCATAACCTGAGGTCATAAGGTTGCACATCACGCTAAAATATCTTCTGGAGTCTATTCCGCTGCAATTAGACTAAAAGAGATCATTATTAATTGCAATATAAAGTGGGGATATTATATATTGATTCTGATTATAATTACACCGAAACGGAAAACCAATTAAGTTTTCATATGGCTCCATTAACTACTTTTTGGAAAGTGGCTCTGATGTGGTATTTAACAAAAACCGAGGATGCTTCTTAGCTGCAGGAAATTAGCATTGTATTTGCTGGATGAATTTCCTCTTTGGCAGAAACTCTGGGGGCAAGATACTCCGTCTTAGTGGCTTCCTCATGTTTTAAACTGGATTGACTGTGCTTTTGTTTTCAAAGTATTTGTTTTATCGCAAATAAAGTGAAGAGTCTTTGGATTTAGTCTGTATATAAATGGAATGAATGAATGGACGAATGAATGGAGTAGTGAGCTGCTGGGGACTACGTTTACCAGATCTGGTTTGAAAAAAAAAAGCGAAAGCAAAACCTGGCAACCACTTCAGAGTAGCAATTATATAGTTTATGCATAGTCACTCCTTGCTGCCCTCTAGCAGGCAATAGCAGTAGCACTTAGACTTATATACCGCTTCATAGTGCTTTTACAGCCCTCTCTAAGCGGTTTACAGAGTCAGCATATTGCCCACAACAATCTGGGTCCTCATTTTACCCACCTTGGAAGGATGGAAGGCTGAATCAACCTTGAGCCTGGTGAGATTCGATCTGCCGAACTGCAGCTAGCAGTCAGCTGAAGTAGCCTGCAGTACAGCACTCTAACCACTGCGCCACCATAGCATCCGGACGTTGGCAGCTCAAACTGGCTAGTTCTACTGGAGGCCGAACCTGGTACCCTTTTGTTGTCTATCACAGAGTTACTACAGTTACTGCCCTCAAAGGAATTTGAAGCCTGTCCTGAAGTATTAATGCATTTGGACGTTAAAATGCAGGAGTCACCAGGGCCATACTGGGATAGAGCTCCTGATTTGCTCATGAAGTCTAAGCTATTTCCTATTCCGAATTTTGCAACTTAGCATGATTCCTTTTTAAATTTTTTTTTACCTTTGGTGGAATGTCTTCTTCCTGTCGTAACCAAGAACTTCGATCAAACTTTTCAACACGAGGGGGGAGAGGAGGCTTTTCGGAAGTGGGGTCCGAGTTCTGCCTTGGCATCTCAGTGCGGTGAGAGGTCACCGTTAGGGCTTCCTGCAACCCAGCCATTCCCTTTGTGGGTTGTTCATGCAGTGACTGAGAGGCAGGCAAGGAAGGTCCCTGGGATTTCACACTGACCAGATGTGGAATCTACGCACCAAGTTAAAACAAAGTCATAAGTATCAAGTGGGAAAAAAAAGTTATTAAAAAGAGTATAACGAAGCATGTTTTTTTTTAAAAAAATATTTGTTTCCCCAATTTTTATTTTAGTTTCGTTTTAGTTTTTTAAAAATGAATTTGATTTTTAAAAAAAATGAAATTCAGATCTTTCAATAATAAGTGGATGAAGGTCAGGAAATGCCAAAGATGAGATTCCTTATTCGGCCTGAATTCTGTTCCTCTAAGAACATCCGTTAAAGCATAGGCTTTTTTTAGTTATATGATAATGTGTTATTTATGAAATGATGTTAAGAAAATTACATATGAGATGTTTGTTTCGTTTGGCATGGTCTATGATATCCAGAAACAAAGGAAACTTGATTTTTCCATAGATGATTGTTATTTCCACCCATTGGGTTGGTATGTCAGGTGTTCGGCTTCTTTATTTTAAAAGAATATTTCAAAAAGTGGAGTGGCTGTTTTCAGGTGAGTTGTCAAAAAGTGTAATGCTTTTTGCATTTACACTACTATAAAATTATAATGATTAGGAATCATGTGCAGAAATGCAGGTGGCTCCTCATTTGGGTTGCACTGAGTTGCCAAAATAGAAATAGGAAAAAGTAACTTTGCAATTGGTTTGATAGCTACAAGAGGAAATAAAATGAAAATCGTGAATCTAAATATCATTTGGACAGACACAGGTCACGTTGACATTAAATCTTAGTTTGTCTGATCCATGATATCCTCACCATACCAGCTGGTATGCCATAAATCCATACCAACAATAGTTAATAGTTCGGACAAGAAGGAAAAACCAAAACTCCAAAGCACCTCATAATTTTGTCTGACGTATTCAGTTGCTTATTTATACCTCCTGTAAGATATTAAATTCTAAATATTATTTTAGGGGCAAAGTGTGGCGGACTCTCCAACTAGACTAGAGGGAGGCGTTAAGCAGGGATCGAGCTTAGAATCCTTGCACTGCAGAAAGTGGCACAGGTCTGACTTCCCCGAGAATCCCCGAAGCCTTATCTCACCATTCACAAGTCAATGCATTCAATCTGGCAAGATTCTTGTAACAATGGGACTAACAGTAAAGCTTTTGTTTGAAACTATTCACGACATGCGCCTGACACAAAGGGGGCCTGGACACTATGTATTTCCCTTAGTTTTAACACAAACACACAATTTCCATGCTGTAAATGACATATGCCAGCTAAAAAAGATGCGGGGGAAAAAAGCAAGTATATAAACAAACAAAGAAAAAGCTTGGCCAATATTTTGTTTTACTTTAACTGGAAGAATGGGTCACAAGCGAGCTGGAAGAATTGCCATCCTGGACCAAAGCAGCATTTTATATGTTATCTTCTCATTTTTCTTTCATGGAAACCACTGGTTTATCACCCTGTAAGCAAGCTGACTAACATAGGAGCATGTGGGGTGTTGTTGTTGTTGTTGTTGTTTTTTGCACAATTGAAGGAGAAAAAAGAATGATCTGGAGTGGAACTGATGATGAGATTATGAATGGAACCATGGAAATGCAAAGACAAATACGGTACTATTAATTTCACTCATATTACCAAGAATCGAAAAGGGCAGCAAAGCCAAATTCGCTCCAGAGAAGATTCTCTGGATCTCCATCAAATATGCTGATACCTTGCAGTATATACTTCCATTATGTCACATTCACAATTTATTTAAATATGTATTATGCAAATGTGTTCACATATATAATTCTGTGGCGGTTTGGAGCATGTGACAAACACATCCCGGAATAGCTTCACAGGAACTGGGCTTTTTAAATAATAATGAAATCTACCGTATGTTATTTGAACGAGACATTCTGATTTTTTTTCCCCCATGCATGCCACTGCTTATCCCAAAAGAGAAAAAGATAAGACACAATTCCACATTACCTGGAAACACCATTTAAATATTTATCATAATTCCTGGAGCATGTTTCCTTACGGCTTGACTTTTGACCCCTCTCCCAAACAGCAAGGTTAAGAGCAGATTGATACATTTTTCATTGCCCCCACCCTAAAGTTAGCTCAACGTCTATTTGACTGTATAAAATAACAAGTGATCACAAGGTTTGACCCACGTTACCTCCCTATCTTGCCTATAAGTTCTCTTTCCAGCCCATTATGACTTCCCCACTGTTATTTCTGGTCACTAAGCCATCCAAAAATTTCCATTGCCACTGCTTTTTCTCCTCAAGGCCAATGTAGACAAGAAGCCCAGATGAAATCTGCTGTCTCAAAAGCAGCTCCATGGATTACATTTTCTTCCAGAAAAGCAAGGAATACATGCAACTTCATCGGGACTTGCACGTCTTACTCATCAGCCTCCTCAAATAGCACTTTCATGAACATCTCTTAGGACTGAATGACCTCGAACAATGGAGAGACACCTACTGTACTTCAATAACAGGATGAGTAAAAATGCCTAATTTTATTTTCATTATAATTCCCTATCCAGAGGACAATATGGTGGTTGTGACAGCTAGGCCACATTTTTTTAAAAAAATTTCTTCTCAGATAAGGGGCGCAAGGAGAAAAGAGACCATAGGCCCGTAATGACGAACCAATGGCACGTGTGTCAGAAGTGTCATGCAGAGCCATCTCTCCGGGGCATGCGAGCCGCCGCCTGTTGCTCTTCCGGGTTCCGGCACATTGTCCAGCTGGTCTTCACATGTGCAAGAGCACCAGAAACTGGGAAACCATGTGGCCATTGCGCATGCGTGCACCGGAAAGATGTTCTTCCAGTTTCTGGCACACGCATGTGCAATGGCCACCTGGTCTTCCGGTTTCTGGTGCATGCACATGTCGGAAACTGGTAGAACATCTTCCTGGCACGCGCATGCACACCGGATGGCTGCTCTTTTGGTCTCGGGCACACGTTTTGGCACGGTGCCAAAAACGTTTGCCAACACTGCCATTGGCAGTGGAACTGAATTATCTATGACAAACTACATGCAGAATTTGACTGCGTTGTTCTGAAATGTTAAGGCTTGTTGAACAGGGTAATTGTTTAGAGATGACATTACCTTTGATGAGAATAATCTGTCACATTCTTGTCTGAGCTGTATCTGAGAAGCAAAGAACAGGAGGCTTTACTAAGACACCATACCTGTGGATCCACTGATCGCAACATGGGTGGTGTCCGAGCAGGCTGCACCCCGCTAATACTAAAGGATTCTGATCGAGGTGGAAGGTTTGGGTCAGAAATTCTGTTGGCCACCTTGTGAGGCATGGCTGGGGAACTTTGCCGGTTAAGTCTGGAACGTTCTTCAACCTGAAGCAAGAAGAGAAAAGGGAGCTGTGAATTCAAGTTGTCTGAAGGCCTTGTCCATAATGCACTCTGAAACCGGTAGAGCCATTTTCTCAGTCTGTATTCCCAATCAGCCATTCCAAAGACAAAAATAATCCCAGCTAATTATGAATGGTGGCTACACTAGAGGACTTTCATATTAATAAATAACACCGTAAAATTAGTTATGGTGGCTCAGTTTATGAACTTTGTTCAAGTCTAGTTCCACCTCTTGTCATATAAATAAATAGTCAATCAGCTCAATTTAAATGGCTTCCTAATAATTAGCAAGAAGGCTAAAGTGTAGACTGAACAGATTGTAACTCAGTAAACAGCAGTCAACGGAAAGTGACAAAAAGCAACAAGTGATAGCATTTAGCAATAACGCTTAGACTTATATACCACTTCATAGTGCTTAACAGGCCTCTCTAAGCGGTTTACAGAGTCAGCCTATGGCCCCCAACAATCTGGGTCCACATTTTACTGACCTCAGAAGGTTAGAAGGCTGAGTCAACCTTGAGCCTGGTGAGATTCGATCTGCCCAACTGCTGGCAGCCAGTGATCAGCAGAAGTAGCCTGCAGAACTGCACTCTAACCATTGTGCCTCTGGCATATATGCATATAAAAAACAGGCTGCAGGACAAATTTCCAACACCTTTTAACCTATTTTTCCCCTTGCCTTGGCAGAAGTTAATCCAAATATATATGTATCCTCATATGAAAGTCCTTTTTTAAAAGAAAGGTAACATAATCAATTATTTTATTTTTATGGATTTGGCTCCAAATGTGCTTTGCGGGTATATTTAGCAGGCTATATTTTAGGTGTTGACTGTTTAAAATGGCTACACAGGTTTTGTACATTTTTCTACACACCTTGATATAGCAGCCCTCCAGAACTTGCCCAAGCAGACAGACAGTATTTACCCTTCTCCAGAAGATTATAAATCAAAAGCAAGAAAATTCATTTTTATGCCAGATTATACCAGCTGTGATCATAGATTCCTGCCATTCATAAATTTCATCTTTGGGAAATTCCCTGCTCTGAATCCAGCAGCAGAAAGAAGAAAAGAAAACCCCACGGAAGAGCAACAGGTAAAGATGATGCAAAAACGCAGAACAGACTTATCCGTCTCCCCTCCTTGGTGGCTTTTGTGATCCCGAGGACTTTAGAGAGATGGGACTGCATACGTAGCATAATGAAACCAAGAAGCAACTTACTGGATACACGTACAACAAACAGCTTTTGGTTTCCAAAAAAGCAAGTACAGCAATAAGAAGGCAAGGCCAGAAGATAACATCCAACCCAAGAAAAGGAGATTCCCAAACTTTACATCAAGGCAGATTAAAACATGGCCCGTGTACCAAGATAAAAGAGCAGTAAAGATTGCTGGAGGTTCAAAGCATTTTTTTCCTCAATTACAGAATTTCTGCGTGATCTGTTGTTCCAGTCATACCTCCTACCAAGGAGACTGTAATGATCATCCATTGTTCTGGTATAATACATGGACCACGGGAAGTTGCTGAAACCTGACTTACAGCACTGGTCCATCTACTTCTGAATTATCTAAACTGACTGGTTTTGGTAGGAATCTTTCCTAACCCTAGCTAGAAAATCTTGGAACTATGTACGTCCCTAATCTAGGAAGAGATGCATCCCAATGGCTGAACTCAAAGATGGCATATCCTGAATCGAGAATTACACAGAAATGCCAAAGGGAGCCTTTACACATGTTAAAGTAGTGTAAAGTTTAAGTACAAAGTTTCAGCAGTAAAGCTTTGAGAAACCCTAATTTAGAGGCTCTCGAATTCTTGGATTACCACTTGAGTTCCAAAGAGGTGTTTGATCTCTTTTGAAGCCACGAGTATCAAAACAAATGTTAAAATGCTTTCAGGAAGAAATGGCAATGATACACTCTTATTAACATATGTAATAATTAATAGAGCTAGAATCCAGTGGGAGATCTTGATTAAAAGAATTATGCCAACAATAAAACTCTTCCAGACAAAATATAATGGCAGATTTGAATCAACTGTGAATGATAATCAGCAAAGTTTTAATTTGTTGGATAACTGCATTTAAAAAATTTGTTTTAACAGACCCTCACCATCACCAATGGACTGCTTACCAACCTTCGGTGGTGCTCTTAGTCTGACAATGCTATAAAACAGGTTCACAAGATAAAACAAGATCTAGGCAGATATGACCATGTTGTTCAGTTATCCTTAGGATGCCAAATGCAGGACAGTGTGATTGTGAGCTGTTTTGCAACTGCCTAGTTGCCTTTGTTGCACTCAGAAAAGTAGTGGAAGAACTCTTCTTTGAAAAAAAAATGAGCCAAGAGGTAATGGTTCTTCTTTCCAAAAAGACTCATTCTCCCCTTTCTGTGAAATAGCAATAACACTTAGACTTATATACCGCTTCACAATGCTTTCCAGCCCTCTCTAAGCGGTTTACAGGGTTAGCATATTGCCCCCAACAATCTGGGTCCTCATTTTACCCACCTCAGAAGGATGGAAGCCTGAATCAACTTTAAGTCTAGTGAGATTCTGCTAAATTGCAGTCAGCAGAAGTAGCCTGCAGTACTGCACTCTAACCACTGTGCCACCACAGCTCTTGGTGGCACCAAACCAAGAAGAATAGGTTTTAAAAGGGTGGGAATTGGAGTGGACAAAGCAAGAACATATTGCTTATAACGTCCTATATTCAATGCCCTGGCCTCTCTCTCTCTCTCTCGCTTAACAATAAGCCCAATTGCAGAAGTATGAATAACAACCTCCACAACTCCATCCTTCCCTTCCACCACCCAACCTTCTAATCCTGAACAGACCGTCCTAATAAAAGGAAATACATTACTTAATTTTGCAAATAATAATGATAATATCTGTACATGGTTGACATGGCTTTATACTGCAATATCTGAGCCAGCAAGCAGCTCCAAATGTTGTTTGATCCTATAGCAATTATGTTTGCTTGTTTGTTTTTAACTTCAATTCTTGTTTGCCATCCTCCAAATGACCATAAAGCAGTTGACTAAGCTGCCAAAATAATTCAAGCCCACTGAGTATTTTCTCCAGTCCCCGAGGAAATAAAGCAGTGCATTCTGGGATGTAATCCAATCATTAAATATCAGGCCGAACCACCCCTGGCAGAAAACTGAGACAGAATATCAAGATTAAAACAACCCATGAACTAGGATGTCGTCACCAAACTTTCAAGCACTTTTGTTATTAAACAGGCTTGATGTGGTACAATGCTTTCAATAATTAAATCAGCTTTCAAGTGAGCAATATTTATGATAAAGGAAGGTAGACTGATCTGGAAGGTGCTTTTCTCCTACATGGCTTAATAAAGGCAACTTGATAAGACAGAATCCTTTATTCCTTTGTGCAAACAGAGTGCTGTTTTTTTTTTTTAGAAATCTACTCAAATTCACTAAACACCCTGTTTTCCCGAAAATAAGACCTCCCCAGATAATAAGACCAATTTGGCTTTTGAGCGCATGTGCTAAAATAAGCCCTCCCCCAAATATAAGCCCTCCTAAAATATTTAAATGCATGCGCAGACGGTTCACGCCATTTCCTCTGGTTGCTTGCCGCGCAAACAACACGAGATGAGGTGAGGCTGGAGGGGGGGGAAATGGAGGGGGACCCCATATGCCCTTACCTAACGGCCGCTCCTGCAACCCTAACCACCATGCTCCTTCTGTCATGCTAATGGATGCCGCAAAAAGAGCGGCAGGTCCAGTGATGCGCAGCATAGCAGCAGCCATGAGGTGACCACACTCGCTGCCTCCTGCACCTCAAAAATAATAAGACCTCCCCGAAAATAAGTTCAAGTGTTTATTTCGGCGGTCAAAAGAAAATAAGACCCTTTCTTATTTTCCGGGAAACATGGTAGATTTCCCCGGATTATTTTATGCCAAATCTCTTTGCCATTCCCAAATATGTTCACCAGGAGAACTGGAAAAGTAAACAGCAGCACTTCTTAGTATAAAACAAATTGTTAGAAATTTTGTGAATACTGGATTGCCACTCACCTAATGGCAAATTTACTTCTACATGCCTCTGGGAAAGTTTGGATAAAATATTATTATTTATGCCTAAGTCAAAGATGAGGATGCAAACAGAGTCTCCCCAATTCCCTTATTGCCACCAACTGTTACAATTTGTATGATCTAAATTAAAAGTCAATGTATGCAGTCTTTTATTCATATGTCCAACCTATCATTTAAACTGTCGCGCTCTTCTGCCCAAGACAACCATCAGTCAAACACTCATTGAGACTGTACAGAAAATCCGAGAGGCAAGCTATTTTTAAGTATGAGATACACTTATACAGTATTACCTATTAACACTCCACTTTTAACAGCATTTCAGTTACACAAAGCATCACACACACTTGGGACTCGAGTTCCGAAGATCTCATTCACAACAAACTCACTGACCTGAGTGCAGATTTTATTTCAGCTCCTCAGATCTTTACACCGACTTAAGAAAAAGCGGAAACAAATGGGTTTCATGACACCCAATACCTTTCTCCAGCATCTTGCACACTTGTCAAAGCTTTCGCTGTTGTTTATAAACTTTGGTAAACAGTTGAACAAACCACACTTTGGAGTAAAAGCAGTTGAACTTTTATTTAAGCTGTAATTAGTCTTAGCAGCAATGGGAATATATACAAAGGTTTCGCAACTCCCTCACTGCCACCCATTGTTAAAAAGAAAAAGCATTTTACAATCTGAATTCAAAGTTATGCCGCCTCTTCTATTAACATCTCCAACCAATATTTTAAAATAAGCACTTGATTTTTCTTTTAATTAGATTCGAGCATGCATGGAATATAAAACAGCCCACCTTTCCTGGACAACCTTGCCCACAAAAAGATTTCTTCATTCAAGGAATGAAAAGAACTTTGGGGGGAAAATACATCTTCATTTTGGAGACCCGAGAGAAAAGAAAGATCCCAGCAGCAGCCAGATATGAAG